CCTCCAACACCTTCCGAATCAAAGTGAGGAGCGTACGATTGAACCTCTCTACCGTGCCTTGACTCTGCGGGTGACGAACTGCACCATGCTGCACTCGAACTCCAAACGCCGCAAACAAAGCCGACATGATAGCGTTGACAAACTCGGTGCCGTTGTCGCAGCGCACAATCTCTGGTGGGCCCCACCGGGCACAGATGGACAGAAAGGCATCAGCAACACTTCGTGCATCGTGCCGGGGCAACGGAACGACTTCAGTCCATTTGGTAAATGCGTCCACACACACCAGGACGCAGTGGAACCTGCCATCACGACTGCCGCCGAGTTCCATGGTGTCGATGAACACGGTGTTCCACGGACCAGATGGCATGGCAGACCTCGTAGCTGGAACACTCTCGCCACGCTGCGGACTGGCAACAGCACAGGCCTGACACTTGCCAACAAAGTCCTGGCACTTTGCTGCCATTGAGGGAAAGAAGCACCGGCATTGCAGAAACCGCCAGGTTCCCTCCCAACCGGCGTGTCCAGTCTGAAGATGGGCTGCGCGCAACACTCTCTCCTCCAGAGACTCTGGGACTACTGGAACGACTTCTTCTTCACCAGTCGGCACCTTGAAGCTCCTCATCAGGACACCGTCGGCAACACAGAGTTGATTCTGGATCTTCTTGTAGCCAGCAGCGACAACTTCCTGTTCAGCTGTCTTCGCTGCAATCACCGCTGTGATGGCCGCATCACTTTCCTGTTCGCTGGCTATCTCTTGGAGCGACACAGGGCCAAGAGCAGATGGATCGATGCAGGCACCAGACACGCCGACGTCAAACTCGCCGACGCCTGACTGACCTTTCCAGTACTGGACGAGCTTCTCAGGAACTCTAGTCAGCTCGTCTGCCTTGTTGCTGGCAGATGGAACCCACTCCAGATCAACGCTGAGGTCAGCCGCTTTGATCAAGTCATCGATGATTTGGAGTCGCCGGTGAACCACCACCTTGTTCAGCCCACTGACTTTGATTCGCTTCAAGTGGCCGAAAAGCGAGCTCAGCCAGCCATGAACGGTCTTGGAGTCGGTCAAGACCTTCACCTTGCGCACATTCCACTCAACCGCCAAACTCAGGCCCTTGATGACCGCCTCGAGCTCTGATAGGTTGATGTGGCGAGTGTCGTTCTTCAGTCTCAGCCAGCATTGGTCCTCTACCACTCGGCCGTCGACTTCCAGGGCCACGCCATAGGCGATACTCGAGGCATCACACCAGATCTTCCAGGAGTGTTCCTCGCCGCTTGGAACGCTCCAAGCACCATGAACTGGGTCTTCCTTCAGCACCCGAGCCATGACGTCACGACACAACACCTGCAACTCTTCTGGAACCGGCTCATCCCATGCATCAGTCAGACAGGCCAAACGACGGAGCCAGCTTGACATCGGCCGCAGCCAGCGACACACAGGATAATGCGCCGTCAGGGCGCCACACCAGCGAAAGATGCTACGCTTCGTCAGCACAGCAGGAATATCAATGGATGTCGGGTCACGACGATCCCATCGCAGCTGGTCTCCCTCAGCATCAATCTTCAGGCCAAGCACGCACGCCTCCTCAAGCTTCACAGGCGGCTTCGTTGGTAGACCATACCGTTGCAGAGAGGCAGCCAGCTCCTTGGTCTGATGGCGTGGTGTCAGGATGTCATCCACATAGTTGTCAGTTGCCGGAAAGTCCTTCGTAACCCACCGGACAATAGCATCCATGACTTTTGGTGCGATTGAAAGGCCGAACCCCATGCGCTGCATGACAAACTTCTGACCTTTCCAAGCCACCACCTGAAACCGCTGCAAGGCAGGCTGTACACGCACGTTCAGGAAGGCCTTCCGAATATCCAGGATATCCATAGCATCGCCGCACTGGCGCCATTTCCGAAGCTTCTCTTCACATGCTGGTGCATCCAGGCCCGGATGAGACACAATGAGACTGTTCAGCGCGCGATAATCCAGACAGGGGCGGACCGGAGTGGACACTTTGTGCTCTTGACACACTGCCAGCAGAGGCAAAACACCGCCAATCTCGCCGTGCGAGCCTTCGTCATAAGGAACTAGCCATCCTTGATCAATCCAATTTTGGACCTCGGTGACGAACTTCACCTCCTGATCATCCGATAATCCTTGGCGGGAATACTCGCCGATGCCTGTACCGATAGGTGAACTTGGAGCAGCTCCGTCGCACCATTTCCAAGTGACTTCCCAGAAGCCTTTCTCGGGGTCGAACATCACTTCACAGTCACTCATCTCCAACGTGACCTTGTCTCCATCCTGTCGGACCTGAACGTGGCGTGGCAAGTGCTCTTCATTGCTGATCTTACTCTCGACTGCAGCCACGACTGGCCTCGTTCCGAACACAGCACCAGTTAGCTGGCCGTCACTCTCTGAATACTCCAGAGCAACACCACCGGCCGATGAGATCACATCAAGACCAATCAGCATGTCAGAGCGAACCACGTCCAGAGAATCAACTACCAGAAACTTGGCCTTGATTTTCGGCAGGTACACATTGTTGTCATCACGGGAGACAGTCAGCTCCACAGTGCCAGTGATATCGAGTGAGTTGCCGTTAATAGCCGTGATCATGTCCTCACCCGACGGCTTGCAGACAGGCACAGACAGTGTACGCACCGCAGCAGAAGACACTAGGGAGCGACTCGAGCAAGAGTCAATGGCTGCCTTCAGCCTGGTCCGCTCTCCATTGACCGACACGAAGACTTTCGGCAGGCCACCACGACGCCTGGCAACGAGGGCAAGACATGCATCATCTTCGCACTCTGCAGCAGCGACATCTGGTGATACTGCAAATGCATTGGCACCTGCACCAGGAGTCCTGCCACTCACTTGTCCTTCGGATTTGGCCTCAGGACAGTGCCTCTTGATGTGACCAAATCGCTTACATCTGAAACACTGCACCTTCTTCTTCTTGGGGCAGTCCCTCCTCAGGTGGCCAGTTTCTCCGCACAGGTAGCATACTCTGCTGTCTCCTGGCTCAGGTCCTACGGCAGACGCGCTGACACCAGGCTCATCCGCCACTGCAAGGAGAGCACGTGCTTGCTTCGTCAGCTGTGTCATCGTGGGATCCCCACTAGCCGCCGCACTGAGGCGCAGCTGATTTGCAAATCGACGAGGCAGACCTGACAAGAACTGCTCGACGAGCACCGGGTCTTTTCCATCTGCTGCTTCCTTGTGGCCACTACGCGTCAACAAAAGGCGCAAGTCAGATGCATAAACATCAACAGTTTCATCTTCCCGCTTCCGACGTCGCACAAACTGGGAGTACGCCTCCCTCGACGAGCAGGCGAACGACTCCTCAAGCCGTGCCTTCACCTTATCCTCGTCCTCCTGATCCGCAGTAGCCATTTGTCTCCACACCGTAAAGGCATCGCCAGATAGATACAGAGGCACATGCGCCATTCGCTCCTTGCATCCTTAGTTCCTCCCCGCAGTCCCGGGTTTCGGCACCAGAAACTGTAGTGGAATGATGGCAAAGCCCCTGTGACCCAACCCAAGCGGCCACACAACCAAGACGTTTTATTTAGCTTACATTTGTCTACAAGGAAAAAAGAGAACTGAAAAAAAGCCATGATCTCGGAACTACTCGTAGTAGTAGTAGTACTGCTTGACCTAAACCGGAACTAAATCGTACCCGCACGGTACGCAGCGCAGACTGCACGTACAGCAGAACATAACCATGATAACGTGACGCAGCTTGGAAAGCCAGCTAGCTAGCTATGTATGAAACAACGGACCGCAAGCATGACAGCGGGAAATGCAAAGGGCCAGTCGGCAACAATACACAATGACGATTTATGCTATTGGGTATCATTCATGGCTAGACCTAACACTGTATGCACGTGACATGTCGCCAAGTTATTGTTCTAACCAGAGGAGTAATTGTCACCTTCAGCAGCATGGATCTAAGAGTAAGACTAAGACTGTATTCATCATCACACACATACTTTGGTATTCTCAGACATGCTCTCTTAAAAGACATTGGGACATATGCATCAATTTCCCGCCGTTAGGTTTTGCGGGGCAAGTCCACTACAGCCGTACACACTGTGATACCAACTCTGCATAAAAGGTCATGAACTTTGTGAGGTCATACACATAAACGTACTAGAATAGGTTGTACCTGACAATAACGGGGCAGCTTGCCCCGCAAAAAGGTGACGGCCATCTTCGATGCACACCTCCCGTTGTCATGATAACAGTCATGCAGCAACCGGGCATATGCCTGCACTCTAATGACAATCACGCATCAGCCGTGTAGCATACTACATCCAGCATCAACCAAGCCATGTGGCTCAGCATCACCCAAACCATATGACCCAGCCTCAAGGCCCATGACTGAAGCCATAATGAGCCGAAGGATCTGAAATGTCCTTGCAACATGGGAAACGCCTGTACAGCACCTGGTGAACACAGTACCCGGCAGCACCACCACTACCGCCCCTCATATTTAAAACTGTCAATGCTGCAAGTAAAGGTGGGTGAGTGTTTCTACAGTGAAAGTGCACAGGTTGTCTTAGTAATCAGTACCCTGAATTGTGAAGGAATGCTGGAGTAAGCATTTTAAGTTAAGTTGCCAAATATCAAAGTCTGACGTGCCGCCTATTCTCTGAATGTCAACAAAAATGCGAACTTTGGCCCCGGAACGTAGTTGAGTAAAATGTGGGGGAGCAGGAGGGATTTGCACACACAAGCCCGGACACAGATGCACACACACACGTGCGCACGCGCAAACACCCACATACATGTACAGACACAGCCAGACACACACACACATATATTATACACAGACACAGCCATACACATACACAGACACAGCCACACACACGCACGCATGCTCGCGCGCGCGCGCGCGCACACACACACACACACATACACACACACACACACACACACACACACAAACAAAGAGACACATACAGACTCTACCCAGAAGTAGAATCTTGATTGAACAACAGATACTTACAGTAGTTTGTGGCGACCAGCAAAACATCTGAATAGTCACTGTAAGTGGTTTCCACGGTAACATTAAGGTCAGATTGGCAGCGCATCCTAAACTCATATACACTCTGAAGAGAAAGCTGGGTGTCCAGAGTGACGGAGGTGATGTTTCCGCGCTGCACTGCATCCGAGCGCACATGCGCGATGGCCAAAAAGGCACCCATATTGTACGGCCTGTACACAAATGATATCCATGGAAGGATAGCAGCATCCGCCGGAGTTATCTCCGGAATGATTGCTGTGAAGTTAACACCATTCGATGTGCTCCTCTCCGGCACAATTGAATTAACGCCTTTCGGCCACAGCGGAAACGGAAATGATCCTGTATAGGATATGACACAGAGCAGAACAAGGAGCGGAAATTACAGGCACCTTCTTGTTCGCAAGGTGGCCTGCACTCGTGTATGTTCCGTCCGAAAATTTCCTGCTATACAGTATATGAACACTGAAACCAACACAGGTGGCAGGTACAACATTACACATTCAAACAGCCGAGCCTGTTGGCAACAGTCCCAACACTCTCTGGCACGCACGCACGTACGCACACACGCGCACACACACACACATGCATACACACACACACACACACACACACACACACACACACACACACACACACACACACATGCATACACACACACACACACACACACACACACACACACACACACACACACACATGCACACACGCATACACACACATGCATACACACACACACACACACACACACACACACACACACACACACACACACACACACACACACACACACACACACACACACATGCACCCAGGCAACTACACACACTTATACACATTTATGCACACTTGCACAGAGCTTGCCTGGTATGTAGTGAGTTGCTGTGTTGAAAGCGACTGTCCTGACAAGGCCCGAATTGCTGTTGGCATCAATTCTTGTTGTAAAAAAAAGGTGGTACTGTGGATCCCTGATATAAGGAACACCATTGTGCAGGAGAATTAGTTCTTTATATCCAAAGCTCTTTATAACCGAAATGCACTTTAATACACCATACAAGTATGGCATAATGATTCGAATGTGGCCCATGACAGTATGATTGCACATAATTTACATGTGCCCCTACAAGACATGGTTCGATACAAACGAAAACTGTTTGCTATAAAGGGTCAATTTCGTACGGGTTCAAACAGTGACATGGACACTGGTTCGTTACATCACGAAATTCGCTATACGCGAGTTCGTTATAGGTGGAGTTGACTGTATAAGTAATTTGCCTACCTGAAAGCAAAGGTATTAGTGCGGGGGAAAAAACGACTGGGCTGACCACTTGCTGTAATCGTAGAACGCGATTGACCAAGTTGGGGCCTGTCCGCATAAGATCTCGTTGTAAAAGTAAGAGGAAAAGCGATGTCATCAAAGTATGGCGGAAGTGTATTCACCAAGGATACTGCAAGAGGAGACACAGAGAGCCACACAGAAGAAGACATTGAAATCGTTCAAGAAAGAAACACTGGCAGTTTACCATCTTTGGAGTGTTGAAACATGGAGTTGAACACTGTACCCGGCGGCTGTCAGTTGGTAGTGGCCGTACACGGAATGTTCAGCACACCAGTAGTAGCATGCAGTTCGCCACCGAGGTATGCACTACAGGGCATTTGGTACACCAGTACGTGTGTAGCACCATGCCGGCGGCATGCTACAGTTGTATGTACGGCACGTGGTGCTACACACATAGTACTACTGTCATGACCCGAACCGGACTCGTCGTGAAAGCGACCACACATGGAGTTCAGCAGCCAAAAGCTGGGCTCCGAAATATTCTAGAGTTCTGTAAGAACCATGATTAGTCCTGGGAAGGATTCGGCACTTTCGTTAGTTGAGCAAACATGGGTTAAAACTCGTGGCCTAGAGCCGCAAAATGTTGTCGTACGTCGGCGACACCTTCAGTACAAGTCGTCAGCATTGTACTCACTACACTGTTGAGCTTGAGAGGACCACGCTTAGTCCTGCAAGGGAGCTGATACCCTTGTTAGGTGAGCAAGAGTGGAGCCTCTTCTCGCGTCATACGACGTAAAGGGTCTGCAGTGCTTCGTGCACTGTGGACTCCGTACCCTTTTGGAAGGAACATGGCATTGGCGCCTGCAGCTATGTTTGGGGGAAGCGCCCATTTGGGTGAACCTAGAAGGACGCAGCTACGCTTCCCGCCTGCTGCAATGCATCCCAGTCCACCGGATCGCGGACCAAGATCATGCCAGCATTTGGAAATCAGTAATATTCACATTTATTTGGGTGAGCGGACTCCCCGTATTGATCTTTGTACTATATTCTAGTTTGGCTTATTACACCACTGGGGGGGGGGGGGGGGGGCATGGTGGAATAATCCTTACGCATTCTTGCCGCTGTATACTTTTGATCACATAATCTAGCATATATAAGGAGCTGTTTTGCTAACATTCATCCTCGACTCTCGGGGAGCTCACTACTCCTTCGATTCATACTCGATTCTGGGAAGTCACTCCGACTCCCCCCTGCTTGGGTCTTTGACTCTTCACGCTTGATCTTTCGATCTAGTACTGCAATGGTTCAATAAACACTGTTCAAGTGGAATTAGAAACCTGTCGTTCTGTGTGAGCTAGCTAACTTGGATGGCGACTATATTGGTCGTCCACCTGGGTAGCCACTAGACTGATCTAAGCCAGGTCACAAACCCGCCAACACGCGGCCATGACAGTACAATGCTGCGGAATGAAATCCGATCGCAAGGTCAGTAGGAGCTGGGAGCTGTGCAGCCCTAGACCGGCCTGCAACACTGGCATGTTAATTAACTGGTGCTGGGGTGCAAAGTTGACTCATTCGGTCAGATTGCATTGGCCGACACTGTAGTAAATTTACTACCTAGCACTTGCACTCATCCTTCTGCGAATGCGAGTCCCCGGGCTTTTGCTTACCTGTGTGTTTTGTATGAGGAAATATTGAGCGACTCATCGTCCAAGCTTTTATTCTCAAACACCGTATTCACCAAATAACTTAGCAGCGGGGTTCGAGTTGTAGCCGTTACTTGGTCCGCGTCAGCAATATTGTCACTTATCACATGGCACGTGATTGTTGCCCATACTCCAGCGAATCAGCACCTTTCGCGCCGCGGGCAATAATATGCGATATTACCCGCAAAAATATAGTTTATTTGCCCGCAAAAAAAATAGTTTATTTCAGTGATCGCGTGACTCGACTATGACGACTCTGTACTGCGTACTGCACTGACAGTCTGTAGACTGTACGACTCTACGAGTCGCAGTGTAGCATTGAGACGAAGATGGAATTCTTTTTGGAGATGGACGTCCCGGCAATGGACATGGCCTCGGACGTCTGCCGTGCGCCGTGTAGTGCTTGCAGGGATCATTTGTTCAGTTATGTTGGCAGCCTGACCGTCGGTAAGCTTGTGGATAAGATTCAGTTCTGGTCGATGTGGTACTGTGACCACAAACAATTATTTGAAATAACACAAATTCAACTCAGCAGGCGCGTGCTCGGCGATGGGCACGGGGGGCACGTGCACCCCCCAAAAATTTTCAATCTGGGTAATTGCAATTGTAATGTATGCAAATATGCTCTAAAATTCAAGAAAGGTTGCAAACAAATTGCAGAAAATTGCCGGGGGGGGGCTCCCCTCGGCTCCCGTGCACCCCCCTAGTTGGGGGGCCGAGCACGCCCCTGCTCAGCATCGTGTGTTTTCAGATCCACGCAAAGTCACTGCCTGTGTGTGGTCTTCCTGTGCCACGCAAAGCTCTTACCAGGCTCATCTGTCCTCTGCCTTCACCTTTGCTTGAACAACAAACACAACAATTCAGGAATGTTTTGAAATGAAAAATACAGCTAGATGTATCTGGAGCTGAAAAAAAGAAGAAAAATTGTCGTCAGAATTACACACCAGGGAGTCGTCAAATACTTTCAGTACTGTATTTGACAACTCCCTGATACACATGTAAACATGAAGAAACTCTTTGTGGTAGCACTCTTAATTTTTCAACTGAAATTATGATTCTGCTGTGTTTTATTGTGGTTGCCATGTCTATTGCTATGACGATGCCGTGCCGGCACTTTTTTTCTGTCTCCGTCTTTCAGTACCAGTGTATACTCTCTGATGGCCTGTAGCAGACTTTTCGTTAGGGTGTAGGAGAAATATCTTCATTTTTCCTGTTTTGATAATGATAGCACATCAATAATACATTGTGGTCATAATGAGTTGGCATTTGGGCTAGTTTCAACGGCAGCCCAATGGTCTGCTCTGTGGGCCATGTGATAAATTTGTTATCGCATGGTTGCTGCGGGCCTTATGGCATATTAGGGAGGTTTAGTCCCACGTAATCCGTGGGTACTTTACGTGTGTGTGTACCACGTGATACTCAGTGACCCACGTACAGACGTTTTCTGATTCACGACATACCGTGTATGGAGGCTCACCCACGTTCCGCCAGAACGTGGGTGAAAATCAGAATGGAGCGCATTTTGCGAGCTGTGAGGGTGCTCAGCTGAAGAAGTTTCCGAAGCACGAAATCAAAATATTCGATGAGCTTCTTAGGCCCGGGTAGCTTCGTCTTTGACCGGGTTGGGGCCTTTCGCTTCATGCTTTTGTTTGTTCCGTGTGACTAAACACAACATTGCAACGTGGATGCCCTTCACCCACTTTACGTGTATCACCCACGTACGCGTTTCCGTTACGTGGGAACTAAACCTCCCTATTATTGCCCCTCGAGGTTAGCCCTCGGGGCAATAATATGCCATAACTTGGCATAAGGCCCTCGCAACCATGCCATAACATATACCGTAAAGTACCGCCAGAGCGCCCCACCATCTCATCCTTTCCTGGCATGGCCAGCAATCGACGACATCTGAGAGTTGTAATTTTTGTACTCCTCCGAGGTGTGATTTTTGGCGTGCTGGGCCAAGCACAAGGAAGCCATCTGCAAAAAAACTGCAGAAAATTGTTGTTGTTTGATCCTTTGGTGTAATCTTTGTTTCTAGTCGAAGCTAGTTGCTGTTTGGAGCAGAAACGCTGAAATTGACTATTTTCTGCTTGTACTCATACATGTACTCCTGTACTCAGGCATGCAGTCTCACTCGTATTTTAGCTCTTTTTCTGGAATGGATGCTGCTCTGCGCCCCTTGGTGAACCTTTCCTGCGCTCGTGGAGCAGCTGAAAAAGACCACTGGTATGTCTGGTTCCTGGTTTGAAAGTGGAGAGTCGACTGTTGTGCCTTGAAAAAGGAGTAGAAAGCGATAAAGGTACGTCTGTGGCTTATTTTTGAGTGCTCCTCGTACATTTTTGATCGTGATAGAAATTCTCAGACCAAAGTCAGACCAAAGTGATGGCTGTACAATTTTCTTGTGGATTTTTTAGTTGTTTCATCTCGTATCTATGTCAGTATCGTGATGGTGACGTGGAGAGGGTGATTTTCTTCCTCTAGGCTTCGTTCGGCCGACTTTGCTTCGTCCTCGTTGAAAAGTGATCCTGAAAAAAAGGTCGATTCGCAAAATTATGTTGATTTTCAATGTACGTGGTGACATGCGATTGCTGGCTATGTCGTATTGTGGAGGTGGTCTGCTGTCTGTAGGTCATACGACATGAACCTTGTACACATATTGCACGTTTCGCAGTCAATCTGTACCTTCGATCGGACACAAGCTCCACACAAACCCTGCCAAGCGTGACCTTAGTACACTAAGATTCTCATATCGTACAAACTTCGTTGCACTCTGCCATACGATTTTTCCTTTCTCTGGCTGTAAAATCAAGGTGGGGCACTCTCGCGAGACGGCAGACCCTGTGATTTGAAAATAGGTGGCGAGTGATCTATCGCTCTCCTCGCCTGTGTCAGGCGAGCTGTAGGAGAGTGATCCAAAAATTCTCACTCCAACAACACAGCACATTATTGATATCATTTTTTTAGAGAAAAAATTCTGGATGCTTTCTGAATTTCCACCATTGTCTTGAAAGATGACAGCGGTTGGCCGTGAACTGCCATTAAATATGCAGTGTGGAAGAGCTTTTCGTATGCGTCCTCCGCTTGGACTAGAATAGCTGTGTGTATGCGTGGCTGCTGAGGCGCTTGTGTTGCCTTGCTCCCTGATGCAGACGTCGACGATGATTTGTCGGTGTCACCCAATAGCTTCGCATGGCTCACTTCGATGCTATGCGCCTACATGACAACAAGCGAAGAAAACAAGGAGAATGGTCGCGAGTCCGATCGACTTTACTTTCGACATTGAATTGACCACTTACCTGTCCAGACAAATGTCGAGTGACAGCGTGCTTCGTCATGTAGTCCGATCCCTCCACAAACCTCAACGCATCGACCTTCGCTTGACCTCTCAGCCATAGAGTCGCTCCGGATAACGTCAGAATACTTCGCACACGACTTGCACCACACTTTCACGACCAGCTCTTTA